AAGTATAAACTTAAAACTAATAAATTATTGTGGGGCTACCCCTTCGGTTGGAAATTGTATATGGTATGATCTGACACTGTTTATTTAAAAATAATTTTTTGCAGGATTATAATTCTAGACGGGGTTGAAGATGGCCTTTCATCACTGAAGAAGGTATCCTTTAACAGTGTACAATTGATTTGTGATACAATATAAAATCTTTGTTGCATAGGTATCTTTTAATAGTGTACAATTGATTTGTGATACAATATAAAATCTATATTGCATGTCAAAGTTCTTCTCCATCTAAAGCCTTATAAAAACGGATGCTCGTTAAGTCATTTATAAAGAGTGTAATAAAATATGAAAAATTGGAAGAGCACCATTTTACAAATGGAAGGGTTCAATACAAGCAAGAAAAATTTAAAGGAAAATTAATGATAAGGGTTCCAAAACTTTGGATTTTAACCAAAAACCATCTAATAAGTTTATTTAATGGTTAGGATAAAGCCCAACACTTAATCAGTCCAATCAACATGGCCCAACTGAAATAACCTAATGTGTTTCCAATTTTACCCTTGACCTTCCGTTAGTTTTTTCGTGAAACAGACCAAACTACTACCCGCAAGCAAAGCAACAAAACCCAGATCAATGCACTGCCAAAACCGCATAAAACCCAACCCTCACAAACGGCCGGCCGACTCCAACCGCACTTCGAACAATTTTATCCCTTCGAGTTCCCCATGGTAAATCATTCATTTATGATCTTTTTCTTTTGAATTCTTTCTGCTTTTTGTATGTTTTGAAGATATTTTTCACGCTCTTTTCCCCAATCGGCGGGATGTATTTATGATCTTTTGGTTAAATAATATCTATTCGAGTCTTTCTACTCCAGAGAGCTGGAGATGGTGTTCTTCATCCCGGGTTTGCTCTGCATTTTCATACAAACCTCCTGTTCATCAATAGATGTGCGCGCGGATTGTTGATATATAATTGTTCGTAGTGCGGTGATCATTCCTGACAAGGTACTGTAGTCTGTAGCATATGATTGTGCCTTGGGACAGCATATGAACTTAATGAAAAAAGATTGGTAGCAAATCAATAGCAGGTCATATGTGGAGAATGGATTACAATATATTCAATTGTTTAAGCTCTCCGATGGCTTCCACTATATATTTTAATTCATGTGTGTGAAGGAAGGATATGTGAAATTAATAAGCCCATATACAATCAGTGGATCTATTTTTGATCTTTTGGTTAAATAACCGTTCTTTTTATTTTTCATACCATTCTTTTTTAATTTTTCAAGCTCCCCACGGGAAACCTTAGCTTTTTGTATCTTCATAACCTCTGTATCCTCTCATCACGAACCCAAACTGTTATAGAAATAGTTAATATTCAGTTTAAGAAATAGTGATAGTATCCTTATTTAGTTCTAGAAATAGTCAGTGTTCAGTTTAATAAATAGTGATAGTACCAGTGTTGAGTTTCAGAAATAGTGTAGCACCCATGTTTAGTTTAAGAAATAGTTAATATTCAGTTTAAGAAATAGTGATAGTACGGGAATTGAGTTTCAAAAATAGTGTAGTACTAGTGTTCAGTTTCATAAATAGTGTAGTACTCGTGTTTAGTTTCTTAAATAGTCAGTGTTCAGTTTAAGAAATAGTAGTAGTACAAGTGTTCAATTTAAGAAATAGTGATAGTATCCATGTTCATTTCTAGAAATAGTGTAGTACTCGTGTTTAGTTTCATAAATAGTCAGTGTTCAGTTTAAGAAATAGTAATAGTACCAGTGTTCAGTTTAAGAAATAGTGATAGTACCAGTGTTCAGTTTAAGAAATAGTGATAGTACCCATGTTCAGTTCTAGAAATAGTGTAGTACTAGTTTTCAGTTTTAAGAATTAGTTAGTGCTCAGTTTTAAGAAATAATTAATGTTCAGTTCTACTAGTGATAGTACCGGTGTTTAGTTCTAAAAAATAGTGGTAGCAACTTTTAAACTCGCAACAATCTCAAACTGACTCTTTATAAATAGCTTATAAGAAATTTATATTAATCTTACTTTGATTCTATAAATATTTTGATAAGCATTTCAACACGAGTTTGATTTTAAATCTTCCTCAGTCTAAATCTTTTTCAATTCAATTCCTCTGATTTCATTTAGTAGTTAATAAATTAGTAGATGAGCAATTCTTCCTTCTCATTTTAGTTTCTCTAATTTCATTTACAAATTTTTATGCACGCCATAAATAGTTGAAGCTCCTCTCAAACCCCATCACCTCAAAAATAAAAGACATAACCTGGCTCAATTGCCCTTAAAAATTGAGATCAATCGAGACTTAATCAATTCAATTTTAATTATACATGAGTAATGTTCAGCAAGTAAAAGAGTATATGGCAATGGCAAGCGAATGGGGAATATGTTGACGCTTAACTGGGTTCTGAACTTAATTAGTAGATATCATATAGGATGGAAGGGCAGAAGGGACTTCAACATCACATGCATTCAAACAAAAACCCAAAAGCAGACCTAAAGAGAGGAGACGCAGAGGAAAGCAGTTTGCCATGCTCAAAAATACCTCACGAACCTCCACTATATGTAGGGGTGGATTTTTTTGCCAAATTGCCGTGCCAACCGAATTGCCAACTGTACCATACCGATTTTGTGCCAAATTTTTTGTACCAATCGGTAATGGTATGGTATTGTACCGTACCGAAATTTCATGGTACGGTTTTGGTAATGGATACCATTACCACGGTATTACCATACCATACCGAAAATCCAATATAATTTATAATTTATAAATTATATAATAGATAATTATATAATACATATTTATAATATTCCAATAATTTGAAAATAAAACTCTACTTATATTAGCATTGTTGTTGGTGACTTTGATCTCTTAAAATTGTGGAAATCAAACACAAAAGAGTTCCTAATTCTTTCACACATAGCCAAAATATCTTTGTAACCCCCACTTATACTGTTGCTAGTGAAAATGCATTTAGCCTAGGGAGGAGGGTTGTGGACCCTTTTAGGGTATCCTTGACTCCTAAAATAATGGAGGCACTAGTGTATACTAGTGGTTGGCTTAGGGCAGATGAAGTAAACTTCTATAAGGAACCAACGGAAGATATGCTTCAATTTTACAAGGAAATGGAAGAAGAGAAAACAAGAAAGATATGCTTTAATTTTTTTAGTAAATTTGTTATTAAATGGTTTTTAACTTTAATTCTTCTTGCTACTAATTAATATGTTTTCTTTGTTTGTAATGTAGGCTTGACACAAACTCAATCTTCTACAAGTTCAATGCGTCCTCCAAAAGCTTCGACATCTCAAGCTTGAATAACTGATCAATGAATTCTCCTTTTTTGAAGTTTACTTCCAATTTTCATTTAGTTTGAAACTTTAATTTCTATTTGGATTGTTAACTTCTATTTGTTTTGGTTCGTAACTTCTATTTGGATTGTAAGCTTAATTTTCATGATGAACCTTGATGCATCATTTGAATTATTATGTGTGTGAATTGTGAATGATGAAGAATAGATGAATTTAATCTATAATGTATGAGATAAAGGTACAAAAAAAAATGTTTTGCCCTTGAATTGGGTTAAAAAAACAAAAACATATTTTGTCCCAAAACAAAATGGCAATTACCATTACCATACCATGCCAACCGAACTTTTGGCAATACCGAACTTCGGTATACCGAAAGTTTGGTACGGTAATGGTAATAGATTTTACCAAACCGAAAGTTTGGTACGGTAATTGGTACAAGGGTTTTGGTACGGTAACCGTACCGAACCCACCCCTAACTATATGCCATGCACTCTTTTCTTTCTTGGTTTCAACAAATTTGAATAGGTTACAAAATTGAATATTGACTTCTATTTCTGAACTGAACCAAAATAACCCACCATATTTTTGGTACTAAACCAAAATAACCAACATTATTTCTGCAACTACAACAAAATAACCCACACTATGTTTGAAATTGAACCAAAATAACCCACACTATTTCTGAAACTAAACCAAAATAACCAATACTATTCTGGAACTACAGCAAAATAATCCACATTATTTCTGGAATTACAGCAAAATAACTCACACTATTTCTGAAACTACAACAAAATAAACCATACTATTTCTAAAAATGAACCAAAAGCCCACACTATTTTTAAAACTTCAGCAAAATAACCTACACTATTTCTGAAATTACAGCAAAATAACCCACACTATTTCTAAAATTTGACAAAAAAAAACTACACTAGTTCTGGAACTATAGCAAAATAACCCATGTTATTTCTGAAATTGAACCAAAATAACCTATACTATTTTTGAAACTACAGCAAAATAACCAACACTATTTCTGAAATTGGACCAAAGTAACCTACACTATTTCTGGAACTACAGCAAAATAACCCACATTAATTCTTAAACTGAACTAAAATAACCCACACTATTTCTGGAACTACAACAATATAACCTACACTATTTCTGAAACAGAACCAAAATACTATGCACTACCACTAATTTAATTACAATACTATGGATGATATCATCAATCCCAATATATATTATAGGCCATGGCATATATAAGATTGTGACCATGAAGATAGATCAAAGTACATACTACAAATTTTCTCATCTTACAAGTTGAAACACAACATTCCATTAACATAGCTAATAAGCACCGCTGAGTCTTTATATCGGAATCTTGACTCTTTGGTATTTGATGCCCTGCACTCTTTGAATTTAATATAATTTACAATTGCCTTTTCTTCTAATCTTCTAACTTTTGCTACTTAACATATGATTAATCATTACCTTCTCTTCTGCTTTTTTTGCTTTTGCTACTGAACAAGTAGCTCAAACCTCACTTGCAATCACATCTAATAAAAAAAATATGAAACATTGTTTGTGTTTTTTGACAGCGGGTTCAAACCTCGGGGGTTGTTATGTAATTAGCTCATATGATTAAGATGAAGGTCATACAACATGTTGCTCAAACGTTAGACATATTTTAATCTGGTATTCTTTTTTTTGTTTTTTTAATATATAATCTCAAGATGTAATTGACATCTCATACAATCAAATAGCAAACTCAACTAAAACAGAATCAAAATGCAGCATTGTCATACTAAGTCCAGAGCGATCCTAACAAAATTAAATATCGAAACCCAAACCTAGATAACTGGACAATAACAACAGCAGCACCCATTTCTTTTCTTCCACGAGATGAACCTTCAAAATGCCTGCTTTCACATAAACTAACATGAGTCAAAAATGGTATTGGCAGGACAATCAGTCCCCATTCCTCCTGAAAGAGGAACCCTCGGTCTCGGTGAGTCTGGCACGACCACCAGTAGGCTGGCACAGCACAGTCTGGCAGTTCCCACACACCACAACTGTTTGCGAGTGACTGAACACAGTGGTTCTGCACAAACATATTCGATTACATTCACTTTTAAACAACAAATAAATACTCTTATTTTCTAATTTAGCACATAATTTAATAAGTACTTAAACGAAAACAGCAAAAAAAGGATAAAAATTCACATGTTGAAACACCCCTGGCACTTGACATCCTATTCAAGTTCAAAACATTCAAAACTAGTATCATCCCACTTAAACATTCAAAACTAAACAACCTAAATACAAAACCCATCGTTCGACCAAAAAAAAAAATACAAAACCCAAAATTAGAGCGAATAAGAATAAATACAAAACCCAAAAGCGTAAGCATCCATCGATTAATATCCATACCATAAAGAAAGAGTTGGGGGTCTGTACAAGCCTCTTGATCTTGTGCTTCCTCTTCTCAAGCTCAGCTGATGGATGGAGCAAATCGATATCGTTCTGAAGCACCATCTTGATTGAAATCGAAGATCGTAGAAAATAGCGGCGACCGCGAATGGAAGACTCTAGGGAGAGACCGAGCTTGCAACAATGGCGGGTGAGAGAGCAATTTTGATTCGGTATTTTGGTTGACACCTTTGGTGGAATTGGTTGCAGAGGAAACCATGACAAGGCAACCTCTGAATCTACTAGAAGATATGCACCAAACAATCCTTCATTCAATTCACCAAGGGCTGGCTTCCGTTGGGGTAATTTTGGAAACTTAACTTTGTTCATTTTGGGCTCTGTAATCCAGCCCGTGTGAAATTTGGGGTCCTTGTCCTTATGATTAATTTTGAGGTGCTTTTGATTAAAGAAAACTATAAGATGGTTTTTTATTAAAATAGTCTTGATCTAAACCTTTTTCATTAAAGTTCCCAAAATTTAACCTACAAAACTGCTAGAGATGTGAAGCTAGAAAATAAAGAAACATTCGTTTTCCAAAAAAAAAAAAAAAAAAAAAAAAAAACATTCTGCTATTTATTGCGTTTCCATCTTAATTAGTAGCAATTTCATGAATCTTGTTTTTTCATACATGATCAGCGAGTCAATTGATAGTGACCCATGAGTGCTCATATTCCTTTTCATACATCAGATCTGTTAAAAAAATCGGTTCACAGATGTGGTACCGAAACGAAACATGGTAAAAAATCGGTTCAATACAGGTCGGTATGACTGGGTGTACCAAATTACTACCGAAACTAGTGGGTTCAATTTTGTTCAGTTTAAATACGGGTCCAGTTTGGTTTTTGGGCCTTTTCCTTTTTGGGCCTTTTCCCTTTTTTGGGCCTTCCCTGTTTTTTTAAGCCTCTTCGTTTTTTTGGGCATTTCCTTTTTAAGCCATTTCTGTTTTTTGGACCTTCCCTTACGGGTCCAAAATGGGTCATGACTCAAACATCAAAAATCAAATTTACTTTCAATCCAACAACATCAAGGATTTCACATCAACAATTTCAATCCAACAAGCCAACAACATCAAACATCAACAAATCCAATCCAGCAAGTCAACAACATCAAAGTTTAAGTAAATGCCTTGTGGTGATAGTACAAACCCAAATGAAAAATCAAAGTTCAAGTCAAAGCCTTCTGGCATTAAAATAAGGGAACTTTAACGAAAAGTTCCTAGTATTGTTTATTTTAACGAAAAACCACATTTTTACACTAAAAAGTCAATCATGGTACTATTCACTTTACGCTTTATTTTGTCCTTATCATTAATACTCAAAGTTTTCAAGCCTTTTTTATTAGTTTTCCTTTAAAACAACTCAAATAAAAAAACAAAGTTCAACTAAATGTCTTATGGTATAAATACTTCTATGAACCAAATGAAAAGGTAAGTTCAATTTATATAAAATAAATACAATTACCCCTTTAGGCCCTTAGGGTGCGTTTGTTGCACCGGACTATCTCAGACTGGACTGGCTTAGACTAGACTAAGCTGGACTAGCTTAATGAAGTGTTTGGTGTAGTGTCGGACTAATTTATGGACTAAAATGATTTTAAAGCCCAAAATATTTTTTTTATCATTTTTAATTTACTTTTACTTTAAAAAACAAAAAAAGTCAAATATTATATTATAAAATATTATTTTTAATTTACTTTCCTTTCTCTTATCTTCATTGTTTCTATCAAACTCTGCATCTAACCCCTATCTCTCTGCCGTTCTCTTTTCTCCCAATTAGTCAAATCTCTCTCCTCTTTGCCCTCCACTTCTTGCGTTCTCAGCAAATTTGGGGGTTTTTGCAATTCCCAAATTCTCCCCTTCTTCGTTTTTTGGCCAAAAAATGTGTTGAGAAATCGGGTTATTCGTCGTCAAATCTTCAAACAGCTTCTGGGGAGCGGTGAAACCGGCTTGCAGCAAGGCCTGGTAAGCTAACTGGCGGGAAGTGGGGGATTGTGGAGTCAGGGGAGTGAGAGACGAAGGTGACTTGGGGAACGCTTGGATTTCTCGAGACGCTGCAAAACCCAGAAACGGTCTTAGTAGTCCGATGTTTTTCGGGGTCTCTCGCTAAGACCCCCTAGCGCGCTCTTTAGTCCATGCGAATCCCACCTAATCTCATTAAAGTTAGTCCCTTCTGCTAACAAATACTGGACTAGACTAACTCTTAGTCTAGTCCAGTCCAGTGAAAGCTAAAGAGGTCAAACACACACCCCCTTAGGGCCTTATGCTTGACACCCTTGGTGGGTGAAAGTTGGGAGGCTTTGGAGGAGCCTTTGGTTGAACACTTTTTGAAACTCGAGGAGGTCGTGTAGGAGCTTGTCAAGAGGATGGTTGAGGAGGCCAGGTAGGAATTCATCTACGAAAAGTTGAAAAAAAATGAGCGAAATTGGGAGACCACCATTATTGTTGTTCAACTGATAATAGAAGCCAAAAGTTTAACCTGCAAAGTCGTTAAAGATGTTAAAGGCAGAAAAGTAAAGAACATTACTTTTACTATTTCCGGCGGTTTCATCATGAGAATCTGTTTGTATGTACATTGTTTAGATTTCATAATCAATCAGTCAATTATCACTTATGAATGACTAGGTATATTATTTTTCAAAGTTTCACAGTCGGTCTAACAAACTGTAAAAGAAATAAAAATAATAAAAAGAAATTGTTATTTTATTTTATATTTCTATCTTGCATTCAAGAGTTCGGAACACTTCATTCTCTAAATTAATATAATAATTTTGAATTATCTTCTTAGTAATAATAAAACTATTTTTATATTGTATTTTATCAATTTTTTTACTTGAAATTTTTTCATTCTACGGCGTTATTTTCAAATCCAATGATCCCCAAAATTTATTTCCTAAGGTCCCACTCCCACCTCATGTTACGAATTTCCAAGATAAAGCTGGAAAAGCAGTGAAAGCAAAATCACCACTAATTTCAGATGAGTGCTTTACTTAATTACTTTAACGGACCAAAATGAAGTTTAATTTTGTCTATCTTAACGTGAACATAATAAACTTTTACGTGGTCAAGAAACATAGCCCGCTGAAATATTTAGATTTGATTTGATTTGACTTAAAGATGTATCTTTATAAGTACGTTCGATTATTTTTTAATTCCAAGAGAATGGCCATATATAATCACAACATGACACATCCCTGTTTGATGTCTCAGGGTCTTTACTACCGAACTTGCCATCATCAAAATTTTCTTTCGTTCTTCTATGTCTTCATCGTCACTCATTTTAAAATAGGCAGTGTTATTCACACATTCATTATCAATGGCAAAGTTAAAAATTGTTGAGAGAAAAGGCAAAGTTAAAAATTGTCAAGAGAAAAGGTAAAATTTAAAAAGGTGCCAGAATATATATAAATATATATATATATATATATATATATGTAAAGGAGAAAGGAGAAAAAAAATTAGGATTTTTTAACTTTAATACTTAAAAAAGATTAAATTTAATAATAATAATAACCTGGTGTAAGATTACATATTGATTATAATCCCTTGATATGTTCATAATTCAAATTAATTAATGTGTATTTTATTCAATGTCTCCAATTAAATATTTGAATTTATTAATACATACATTTCATTAATTTTTTGACCAACTTTTTTTTAATGTATTAATTTTATTTAAAATTCTTCAAACTTGAAAGACTCAATTATTGTACCTAAATGTTAGTTGACACACACTGACCTGAAATGTCCATCTGGGCTCCGAATCGAGTTGTGTTGTTCGACACTAGACGGGTGACGAAGCCATAAAAGTGTAGTGATGTGGAAAATATGAATAAATTTAAACCTAAAGTGTCTACATGCAAGAGTGCGCATGTGGGCGCGAATAAACTCATTTTACACGTGATGTCAAAACATAAATAAAGTACAATAAAGGTAGGATAAGAATGATACCATCTAAGGTAATCACCAATATCAATGCCAAGAATCCTCGTTGACACATAAGTTCTGCCACTAAAACCTGAAGAGGCGAAAAACAAGGATGAGTGGACCTAAAAATAAAGCTTTGTAAAAAAAACCTTTTCAAAAACATAATAACCCATCGCCATAAAATAAGTATAGTTTCCAAAATAGTATACTACATATAGTATGAAAATACTTACCATAAACTGTAATATCTCAAACATACAACATTTCACAATATCTCATAATTAAACATATAATAATATGGTAATCACAATAACTCGCATAAACGAATATCAAATCGAGGGCTCATCGACATATGCTGACACACGAGTTCATATAGAGATGTTTTGACATGAACAAGACTGGGTGTAATAATGATTTACCAATGTTCTAAAAAAGGGTCTAGGCGGTGGTGAGCCGAGGCATTTTCTTGCAAATCGGTTGGAAAAATCAGATGGGCTCTAGGCGGCCTAGACAGGGTAGGCGACTAGGCGGCCTAGGCAGGCTAGGTGACTAGGCGGGGCTAGGTGTTTTTTTTTTAATGAAATTAAAAAATACAATAAAAAATCCAATCTAAGTCTAAGTGGTTTAAAATTGTGAACTTGTTGTACATTTGTCATCCTACAATACTCATCACTATGGTTATATAGCATACATGCTTAGTATGTTTTTAAATTTGGACTTGTTGGATACTCTTTTTGCATTTTATCATTTTTTTTATTATCTTATTCATGGATTTCATACAAGTATAATTTTTTGTAAGTGTCAATATGCACTTATTTACAAGATATACAAAAAGTTTACCTAAATCTGCCTAGGCCGCCTAGACCCCGCTGCCTGACTAGCACCTAGTGTTTTTTAGAACCTTGTGATTTACGCTTTAGTACTACAATCACGTGAAGACTGACACTTTTCATCACATACGAGCCATAATTATCTATAGCAATCTAGAACAGAATTGGCACCTACAATGGATCCAAAATAAGCGTACGGTGCGATGTGAACATACACGTGAAGTATGGCCCTGGCCCAAGCGAGTACAAACATCAGTGTAGCACACGATGAGTTGATAATATAATAATGTTCATATAACGGTAAATTGATAATTCTAGTCAACCATGACACTATTCACAACCGCAAATATAATTAAAGCATCTCATAATAGTATGCATACATGTGCATCCTGTAGGATTCAGAATAATTTCATAATTCTCAACATTACGACATTTCTTATAAACGTTAAACTAATTATGGCAATCACGTAGAAATATTTTTTATTAAATATATGTGGAAACTAAACACATATATATATATACACACACACTATATAAAAGAAAAGACCCACTCACAGGTACTTGCGGTGTCGTATCCTTTCGAGCTAAGAAAGTCAAAGTCTAAAATATCACCGATAATGTCTAAAATATCGATATTATCGGTGAAATTTCACCGATAATATCATTTTTTTAGAGGGCGATATTTTCACACTTAT